AGTTGAGTACTATGGATGGTAGTTTGAAGACAGAAGTCAATTGCCAGTTAATAGACTTTTTGCCTTATGAATATACGTTGCCCAAGGTGCACCACGTGGGAGTAAGTCTATCATACATCCCTCAGTAGCAGAAATAAGGATGTAATGATTAATTGATGCTACTCTTAAAAATTTAAGTAGTTAATTTTGCTTGAGGAAAATAATATTCATAAGAATCTATATTTTGCTATTTGGGGTGCGTGATAGACTTACCTCCACGTGGTGCACCCTGGGCAACGTATATTCACACGGCAAAAAGTCTATTAACTGGCGAATGACTTCTGGCGCAGTACTCATCCTACCTTTTCTCTACTTTCATGTCTGTCTCTTTACATCTCTAAATCACTCTTATGTTCTCCACCCCTCGACTTTCTGTTACTTTGATGTTCCTTCCCATCTGTAAAGCCTGAAGTCAGCTAAAGGGCTAATGATAACTATCAAAACGCCTGCCATTTGAAATAAATAAATATTTTGCTATTTCATCTCATGTTAAATGATAAGAATAGTGAAACACGAATGCAAGACTGTTTCCTTCGAGAATTTCAAACAATCCCTATTCTAGATAAGTGGCTAACTAAAGGCATTTGGGACATTGATTGAATTTGTGGAATTAAGTTGATTAGTGGGTTTAATTAGGAGAGAGATTATTCTGTCGAAATAATCTTGTTTAAAATTTTGTTTCTAATAACGTGGTAGCTCCACTTGCCGCCCCCCCCCCTTGAACGACCACCTGATCAGTTTATGAAAAGAGAATTTATTTTAGAAGCAATAATTCAGAATGTCAATTATGACAATAAATCCGCCTATTTAAAGGTTGTGATGGACCTAGAGTTGAACTATGGGATGAACGGCTTTCAAGTTTTATTGCAATGAAGAGGTGTCTGAGAGACTTTATGAGCACTTTCTCAGTGTTCTAACACTCATTTTCCGTTTTGGTTAATCTCTGAATGATGTTGATATGTAAATATTTTCTCGTCATCTCATCAAGTAGCCTTGAAGGTTGGTCAATTTCATGAAGGTGCGCACGCAACAGCACACGAACGAGAAGGTTTTCAAACTAAAGGATTCACTCGAAGGTTAAGTAGTGGCCAATTAAAATTATTGTAGTAATAACAATAAAACAAATTTTCTATTAATTATTCACTTACAGGCTTCTCAATTCAAAATTCGAAATATTTCCACTGATCTACAGGACTACCTCATCAACGATCATTGGGGCACTGGATTACTAATGTGGAGAAGAATTCTTAACTTTGAGTATGCTATGATACCAAAGAAATAGGAAAATGAACCACTGCGAGTCACACCAGAAATGCGCTCACTGTTAATGATCTATTGCAGGCTTTTTATTTCCGAAACAGTTACCCCTTAAAAGCCTGGAACTTCAGCAAAAGCCAGATAAAAGCATGTCGTTTTAATCAGGTGTAAAACCAGTTAGACAGAATATTGAAGGAGGTACCTGAAGGTTGCCAACAATTTCACTCTACATCTTGCTAAATACTTTCAAACTTCAACTATTTAAATAAGGTAAGGCTCGTATGTAAACACCAGAACTCGAAAGACCTTAACTGGAAATTGAAATCGCGTGAGGAATGAGATGATTAAAGTGAATGCGTCAATCAAAAAAGGAAAGATTGATTATTTATAATATTTTCTATTGTAATAATCACATCTATTGGGTTGGCAACTAAGTCATTGCCGTTTTTGTTGACAGATTCACTCCATACTTTCTTTTGTTTTGTTAACGTGGCCAGAGCATCTAACCTATATTTTTCTCTTACTGTATGGGCTTCTAGGTTAATTAGTAAAAAATTTTTTTGTTTAGTTCTTTAGTTTTGTTTTTATCCCAATTTAAAAATGAAAGAACAGGACGTGCACTTCCGACACATTTTATTGTATTACTTCCGAAAAGGCAAGAACGCATCACAAGCACAAAAGAAGTTATGTGCCGTATATGGAGGTGAAGTCTTAAAAGAAAGGCAGTGTCGAAATTGGTTTGAAAGATTTCGTTCCGGTGATTTTTCACTGAAAAATTCACAACGATCTGGCCGCCCAGTCGAAGTGGATGAAACCCATATCAAGGTCATTATCGATTCAAATCGTCACAGCACAACACGAGATATTGCAGAGAAGCTCAATGTGTCGCATACATGCATTGAAAAAAAATTAAAAAGCCTTGGTTATGTCAAGAAACTTGATTTATGGATCCCTCACCAGTTAAAGGAAATTCATTTGACGCAACGGATTAGCATCTGTGATTCGCCGCTACTGAAACGCAATGAGAATGATCCATTTCTGAAGAACCTAGTTACTGGCGACGAAAAGTGGATAGTTTATAACAATGTTACTCGCAAGAGATCATGGATGAAGCAAGATCAACCAGCCCAAACAGTATCAAAAGCAGCAGAGATTCACCAAAAAAAGATTATGCTGTCAGTCTGGTGGGATCACAAAGGAATTTTGTATTTTGAACTCATGCCGCAGAACCAAACGATAAATTCAAATGTGTATGTTGAACAACTCGAAAAACTGGAGGATGCAATTGAAGATAAGCGGCCGGCATTATCAAATCGGAAGGGTGTTGTTTTCCATCATGATAACGCAAGGCCTCACACATCTTTGGTTACTCGGCAAAAATGATTAGAACTGGGTTGGGATGTTTTTTCACACCCACCATATAGCACTAACCTTGCGCCTTCGGATTACCATTTGTTTCGTTCTATGCAAAACTCTTTAAATGGTAAAATTGTTAACAACGTCGATGATGTCGGCTCACACCTAATTCAGTTTTTTAATAGCAAAGACCAGACATTTTACGAACGGGGAATTTTTACTCTGCCAGAACGATGGAAAAAGGTCATCGACAAGAACGGCCAATATCAAATTGAATAAAGTTATATTTTTAAACAAAAATTCCGAATTGGCCTTCTTATTTGAAATCGGCAATGACTTAGTTGCCAACATAATAACTTCAAGCTTTCATCCTATCCCAATTGAAATTTATTCCTTGTTCAAATTTTTTCGATGTACTTTTATATGAGTTGATATATAAATTGTCAGTTTTTTAACTTTATTAATAATTTACGATTCATGAATTAAAACTTATGCATTCTTTGCTAAATGGTCTACTCTTTCCAGACAATTTTTCACGCAATTTTTTAATTAAAGAAGCTATTAAGAAGGGTTCAGCATTGTCTTGCTCAATTATATCATAGTTTCATTTATTTATATATTTTTGGATGGATTATGTCAATGTTATTGAACCTTTCAACAACCAACTTCGTAATATTATTGGTTCCCGTTTTTACCTTCTTTTATTTTGATCTAGCTCGATAATACTTCAAAACGGAATATTAGAATGCAAAGAAACTAAAAATGACAAATATGTTGCGATAACTTCTAGAACTGGCGCATATCATGATCGTCAGTCGAAGCAATTTGATATGCCATATCAAAATTGGCCAAAAATAATTTTAAATTGACAAATGAAATCAGATTATCAAAGAAATGAAAAAATGATAAGGGCTATAAAGAATATGCTATTATTCCCTTGAGATTTAAAGGCACAGAGTTGATAAGTTTTCCTGTTATAAATTTACTTTTGGGTTTTGAATGTAATTTATAGCCTTTTTAAGTGCAAGACCCCGTCGTTCTTGCCATTCTTCTTGTACGGGCTTTGCAATATTTGGTATTTATTAGCTCTCATGATTTCAAATATCTATTAACTGCGGAAAATTATGTAAACAAGATATAAATAATCTTTTTGTTTACATTTCGATATGTGGTATACTCCGTGGTTTGAATACTATTTGAATAGATTGATTGGCAAACAAAGTAGGTAAATCTTAAAAGAGATAATGAAATTGATATAGAAAACTGTTTTAGATAAGTTTTCATAAGAAGTAGGTATGGAGAAATTATATATCCCTCTCATAATATTTTATAATAAGATGTAAACCGTTTGGCTAATTGCAAATATAGGAAAATTATTGAAAGATTTTTTAAGAAATCAAAAAGAACATTGTGGGAGAGCACGAAAACGTTTTTATAAAAGGTAGCTGTTTCGAGAAGAAAAATTATCCTGAATAATACCAAAGGTCAATGAGTAATATTATGCACAATAACTCACCACTAATCGCATTTCCAAACGGAACAGATCAAAATAAACTCGAGGTGAAAATAAGTAATTGATAAGCACAACTCAATAGCATTTTCATTGAAAACGGAAAAAATTTCAACACCAATAAAGCCCGAATTGGTGAAAAGGGAATGGAAAAACAACTTCCAAAATTCGGGCTTATGCTCTTTATTATTTTAAGCGCATGGTAAGCTCAAGTACATTTCATCAAAATAAAAATTTTTCGAAACTGGAGAGGGATTTATTACAGCAGGTTAAGTAGATGGATGCGTAAATTTATTATAAAACTTGTTGGTCTATTTAAATATTAAAGAAATGAACCAAATAAAGCCACGAGCCTCTTAAATAGAGGATTCTATTTAGCTTAATCCGACTACCATTAAAAATAAGTATAAGTAAACAAAATATAAAAAAACGAATTCAAATAATTTATATCTATGTCAAAAATTTATCAAAAAATAGTGAAAATTAAGAATTTTAAAATTTCTTATAATCATCTGAATTTGTTTTCCAGCTCTTGTAAAATCACCGCAACCAATCATTATACGAACTTGTTTTGATTTTGTAGCGTTCTTGCTTAAAAAAGTCTTAGCAGTTGTTATATGGTGTAATGTGAGTTGCTAATATTTTTTATTATGGTTTCCATTCTATGTCTTAGCTTTTTGAGATTCGATTAAAATATTTAACGTTGTATTATTATTATTATTGATATTGGGGGTTAAGTGAAATGTAAGATACTCTTACTCGATTGTACTTTCTTTTATCACTTTATGTAGTTTGTTACATCTTAAAGGTGTAATTTATTTTTAGTATTTTAATTCAAATGAGTCAACATCAAGGGTACTCTAAGAATAATCGTAAAACCCCTATAAGTTCATCCCAGTCTCGAAGTGTAAAGCAATGCTCTCGTACAGTAATACCAAATTTTCGAGACTCGGCATGCGGCATGGCTACTCTAGAGGAATCTAATAATACCGCTGGAGAATCATGTCGTAATGAACTTCGGGAACTTGTTAGGCGACAGAAGCAGGAGCGTGCTTTGAAAATGAGGGAGTTAGAGGACAAGGAAAAACAACGAAGTCGAAAAATTGCTGAAAATTTAGCAGCGATTGAAGAAGAAGCCAGAAGAACTGCCAAGCTCTCTTCAAATACGAGGAAGAGAACCTCATCCTCTAAGCGTAAAGTGAGTTTCAGCAAATTTCTTCTCTTAATGCTTTTCATCATTATATTAATGCTTGCATATCTCTATTTTAGGATTTGAATAGTGCTCTTAAACAGAGTGGAAATATTACTGACGATGAAATTCCGATGGAGTGTGTGCAAAGAGCTTCAGAACTTTTAGCCTGCCAAGAAAAGCATTTAACCAAACTTCAAAATCCCGTCTCAACTTTTTTATGCCCACCTAGTCGATCCCAACGTTCTACTGCTTCCACGGTTTCGAGGTTTCAAGGAAGCAAAACCTACTCTATTGAAAAGTCAGCCTCTTGCAAAAGCCTTCCTGACGCCGATCTTCCCAATTCATCTACCTCAAAAACGCAGTCTTCTCTTTTTAATGGTGCTATTGTTTCCAAGAGTAGGTGTTTCCATTATTGTTTATTTGCTAATTATTTTGCAGGTCTTCCTTCCAAGAGTAGATCGACTAAGTCAACCAATGGATTTGGCGTTCAAGTTAATTTACCCGACCCAATTCATTTCGAGAGGTGAGTCCTCTGGTTTTTTTTTACTTATTTCTTACATTTAGAATTTGAAATTACCTAAGAGTGTGTGTGTGTTTGAATACGTCTAGTGATATGATAACTTAGGCTTTCATTGTCTAGCTATTTTTCATTTTTAGTAATTTTAATGGCTAAACCTGAGGTTAAGAAAAAGTTCATTTTATTATTCGCACAACTTAATTATCTCATTGCTAATGCTTAAGGAGATGGGAGTTTTGCCTGTTTCGTTTCGCATTTGAGGATGGAGGGGTAATTTTTGATTTTGAAGCTCAATTTTTTGTTGACCAAGGTGGGTGGGCATTTTAATCACTATGTTCGCACAGGTAGGTACTTGACCTGTGATCTCTGACTTCCCTAAATTGCACTTTAATCGTTTCATCCTCATTAACCACCACTATTTAATTTTATTACTTATGCACTTTGGTGTTGGTGGAATCATAAGTTGGACTTCGGTAATAATTTAGAATTTCTACTTTTAAGGCACGCTGAAGTCATATCGTCCTGGAAGGACGCTGAAAGTGAAAAAGCTCGACTGAAGGCTCGACTCTGTGTTAGTAGGACTCGAAGGTTAGTCCATCTACAAGCTGATGATGAGGATGGAACGGACACTAATGGTGAGTTCATGATTATTTAAAAATACGTTCGAATTCAACCCGTTTATGTAGAGATTTTTGTATTGAGTTGTGGTTACTTCGCGTAAATTTAAGGTTTATTCTTGAATAGGTATATTGTAGTTTAAATGTGAAAGACCAAGATTTCGCCTTACTACCCTTATCTTTGTATTCAATTTCTTTTCTCAGAGGACGACAAAATCGATACTTCGGAATCGTCTTCAGTTTCCTCAGATAGTAGCATTTGTGATCAGGACCCAGCAAATAGAACTCTGACGCCGAGTAAACATGAAGGCACATCTAACGGAACTTCATTAAAATCCCTCCTTGATAATCACATGCAACAAATCGACAGGCGTAAAGAATACGACCCATTGCGTTTCATGGAGGTTTACAAGGCGAAGCATCAATTACAAACAGCGAATGGTGACGTGGATATCGATTCAGATGTCGATAAAACTAGCGATGCAGCATCAACTCTTCAAGCAAGTGCTTTTGAAGAGAATCGAACGGTGCTACACCAACACATTGCCGAATTGGAGATGACGAGGCAGATATCAATGGGTGGTGGTGGTGGGTTGAAGGGTCTGGGAATGACGCGAGTTGATCATCTGAAGGAGATGAAGAATCAAGCTTTGTCTCCCATTGTCCTTCCAGGTACAGGTCGAGCCCCGGTCACTCTCACTCAAACTTTTACCCAGAGGAGTTATACGACCACCACTGGTGCTGCCGCTACTGCTCATTTTGTACCTGGTGAGTACTGCTTAGGAAATTTGCCCGCTCCTATTATCATGACTCACGCGAAATATAAATATATCACTTTCAATTTGAAGTAGTTGAAACTTGATTTAGTTTAATTACTTAGGCTAGGCCAATTTTAGAGGGTAAAATTAGTCTGACCTAATCAGGTCGTCTATTTACACTTTATTTTTGTTATCTTGGTTGCCGATCGTTGTCTATTCCACTTGTTTAGAGTTATCCATCGGTTGGTTACAACTATTTGTGTAATATATTTTCTCCTTATGACTAAAATGTTAATTTTAACCTCGTATTACAAATGAGTTGCCTTAAATGTACGAGGTACCTAAGAAAGCAATTAAATTTATTGTCTTTATTGACCCAAGTCTTTCAAGTCAACGACTTTAGGTGCTTGTCCATAAACTTTAGCAATAAAGGCTTCTCTTGGTTTAAGCTTGAGGGTTGATTTTACACGTTTTACATCATGCGGAGAATTGTGGACTGAGGCGGATCACACTCTTTTGTTATAAGCCCCGAAAATCTTGTTTTTTATACAATGATATATATCATATGGCATGAATTATGCGATATATAAGTTTACAGTAAGAGGAACTTTACCTCGTAAAATTTTTAACCGGTTTTAATTAACTTCTTCACTCTTCCAAATGCACATTTCATGGCTCCTTTGCTTAAATTTCGATTTCTTGCTCACCTTGCCCAGTACTTGTCAGTCCAAGAAATAATGGCTAATATTACCATATCATTTCCATTAAATTCAACTTGAAAATGATTGCTGACAGTATCTGTAAAGCTGGATTTTTGGACTTGGTCGAATTATTATCTTTATCATTCCTCTCTCTCTCTCTCTCTCTCCCTGATCTGATCTTGTTTTCCATTTGAACTGTAAGCATCTAGGCCATCGAATTGTTATCTCAATGTTGTTATGCGAACTTTCCTACTTCGGGACCTCATTTTAACATGGCCCAAATTTATCGATTTTATTATTATTAATGAGGTCAAGACATATTGTAGGAGATCAGACCTCCGTATTTGTTGCCTACTGAATTTTATGCACGTTGGTGGACTTGGGGGTTACCTATATAATTTTAAAGAGTTTGTACTGTTTGTGGTAAAATATTTGTGTCATAAAACTAATCACTGATTAGATGTGACAAAGGAAGAGATTTAGATATTTGTTTCCCCATTAAACTAGGCAAGTTTTCAGTTATTTTGGCATTGTAAATATTTCTCACAAGATAGAAATTTTATTGCCGCTTAGATTATATAACTACTGAGAAGGAAAGTTAGTCAATTAGTTTGTACTACCTAGCTTCGTTAAAAGTACTTTAGTTCCACCGCTGAGAAAAGTTGCACTACTTAGAGGTTCTAATCCCACCTATAGTTACCTTTTTAATCAGGTGGGGGTGGGAGGTGGGGGGGGGGGGGGTGTAACAGGAAAGCAGTGTAATTTAACGCTTGTGTTGGCCAAGTGTTGGGTTGGGCAAGCGTGTATTTTAGTTAATGAGGCAGAGGTAGATGGCAATCTGACAGCGGACTGATTTCGCCTTAAAAGTTTGGATAAAGGTGAGGCGTAGGCCTTCGAGTTTTGGCTTGCGTTGGGTTCTGCAGGCTATCGCCCTGAGTCCGTAACAATGCTTATTCCTTTGCTCCTTTCTCTCTAGATCACAGTCAAATGACTACCGCTGCTGACTCATTTATGGGCACTGCAGCGGATAATCACTACCTTCAATGTGGAATAAACGCAGATGCCTCCAGCCTTAATCCTCTTGATATGCCATCAACCCTTGAAGTTACTACCGCATTCGGCGAAATGATCGATAAACAGCCAGAGCCGTTCAAATGGTAAGTGCCATTGCTCCTCTCCCTTGGGTGTTTGTGGGTCAAGTTAGAAGTTTCTTTTTACTTCATTTGGAATTTTTGTGTACATGTTTTTCTTTTATTACATTGGAATTCTGCCTTCTTACCCCCGATATAAGTAGTGGTTATATAAGTAGTACGTTCTTATTGACCAAAAAAGGGAGAATCCTTTCCACATAAGTAATTAGAACAAGCCAGGTCATTTTCATCTACTATTCTTTGCTTTAAGTAGTATGCTGACTGATTTATTTTGTGCTTTCTTTTTAAATTTTAGCATTCTTCAACAACGCGTTTCCGATTTGAACGCGCGGCGTCGTGAGGCTGAGATGCTAATCAATCTGGCCAAAAAGTTGGATCGCGAGGAGCAAAAGGTTTATCTCCTTGAAAATATGGCTGTCAAGGCCCTAACGCAGAAGCAAAACTTGCGACAGCCATTGAAAGCTCTTGCCCATGCTGTTGAGGCGTCAAGTTCTTCGTCTAGGTCAACTCCGGAGGTGTAAGTGTTACTTTGAATGTTAGGGAAATTGATGACATGTTGGCTTCAAAAGTAGCAACATTAATTCATTCTCTTTTGAGGAAATATTTGTTAACACCCATTTACCTAAGAGATGTTTGCTAGTTTATAATATTATTGAGTAAATTACCTATTCACTTGCTTATTCCTTACCCTCTGAACCTATTCATTGCTTTTGCATCAATTATTATTTATTTTCTTGTAGTTTTTAGATTTAATTTCTCTAAGGCTCTTTCTATTTCTTTATTTACCGAAGGCATGTATGGATGTCTTGACTCTTATTCGGCTAAAATTCACCGGCTCAACAAGTTTACTCACTTAAAATGTGGCCACCCACATCATACACTGGCTGGAGTTTCAGACAGTTTTTTTGCGCATATTTCCGACTAATCTGCGAAATTGGCTTATTTGCATTGGCGTTGAGTTTAGTGAAGAATGAATGAAATTTATTCTTTGTTGTGAAGAGATTTTATTGCTTTCGAAGTCACATATTAATAGTAATGCTTACCCTTATGACAAGGAAGGCAATCACTGTTGTTCTAGCACGTATTTTCAATTCCCGTCATTTTGAAAATAGAAATAGACCATTTTTGGGTGCCGCAAGTTTGTTCTTCTCTGTTCAATTTGGGGTCTAAGGCGTCATAACTGCATTCCATTGCATTGATTTATTGATTGATTTTAACGCTGCGGTCAAATTTCAAATACTTCTGTTTACACCATCGAGTTACAGTGTTGTTGACATTTCATTCACGCGGGCGATGCTTGGTTGAATTAATTTCGGACAGGGCGAAAAAAGTATAAGCGATCGAAGATATTGGGGTCCTCTTTACTACTACATCTACTTTTGAGCGAAATTCAATTAAGAAATTGTTTGAACCCACATCAATATATATATATATATATATATATATATATATATATATATATATATATATATATATATATATATATATATATATATATATATATATAACGGAATAAAGAGTTTACTAAGAAATATAGATTCAGGTAGTCGGAGAACTGATTCTATTTAATGTGAGCAGCACTTTTCTCCTAAAAAATTTGACCTTCCTTATTCAAGCCCGTTATTACTTAACTGTTTCCTCACCTCTGTCGTTAATGTTGTATCTACGTCTGACAAGATTTTGGCACCTTGTGCACGCATACGCATTCCAATAACTATGCTTTTGGCATCTCTTCTCTCTTTTGTAGAGCACCAGAAGTTCCTTTCCCATCAGTTGTGATTCCCTCATTCCAGCAGCCTTCCCCCTCCACTATTGCTGTTCAACCTCAACCCGAGGAGGAATTGAGACAGGAAATCCCGGCGGATTCCCCAACTTCCATTGTCTTCGTATCCTCCGTTGGGGAGGAGATTCAATCGGATAGTTCTTCCTCAACAACTGAGATGCCTTCGTCTATAGCCTCCTCCCTGGTTCCCGATCGACCCCCACTCTCTTCATCCAGCAGCTTGAGTGAGCTTATTTTATATATATATATATATTTGATTTACTGAAAATTATTTCGGTAGTACATTTTACAAGGCTGCCCACGTAGCCAGTTCCATGGTCGATAGCCCCGGTGTTTTTTTCCTAATGTTTCACTGTTGCTCAGAGATGTCGTTTTCATTATTGAATCTATTTTTTTCCGATCAATTTTTTTATCTTGTTCTTTGGGGAATGTAAGCCTTTCTATATGTTCCATTAAGGGAACCATTAAAGTAAAGAAATAATTTGAAATCAGTTTCGAACGTACTCAACTAGATCTAGATATATTCTTAAAATTTCTTTGATTTCAGTTTGGTCTTATAAGCTAAACGAATAGCATTTCCTCATTCTTTTAAGACATTTTACCGCATGAAATGTTAATGAGTTATTACTGAAAACAATCTTCCGTTTAGCAAATCCCAATGTACTAGAACAACTTTTCGTGAACACGGACTGCACTCCACAACCCCAGCCTCTACCCGATGTCCAAAGGACACAAGATTTACTTTCTCAGATTTCGTCCACCCCCAGTCCAAGGAGGACTCCTCTCGTTGCCAGACATGCAACTGCTTCTCCCATCAATTCCCCAGCTTCCTCTCTTGTCCGACTAACAACAGCTGACAGTCTCAGCGTCTCCTCTGATCTTGATTTGGCTGCCACTCTGGATGCTAGGCTGAAAGTCCTCAATCGAGATCTTGAAAGACAACAGCGCCTTCTGAATCAAATCCAATCCCAGAAAAAGCAGACGAAGAATAAGGACAGTTTACTTCGATTGGAGTCTACTCTCGAACACCACCAGAGGGTAACTTATTTCACCTACGTTACTTACATTTTATGAGTAGGCTTGTAATTTCATTTCTCATTTTAGCTCGTTGAAGGGGTCATCCAAAGCCTTAAGGAGGACATAGCTGCTTGTACTGAAGAGAAATCAGCCTTGTTGTCCCGAAGTGCAGCATCTTCGCCTACAGAAGCTTCTGTTTTCAACAAATCGGATTCTAAATTAACATTGGAAAATATTTCAAATATTGGAACCGATAATATCCCAACCGTAGAAACTGATATCACTCCTTTAAGCAATGGGCAATCTTCTGATGTAATAAAACAGGAGGCTTTGAATGATTCTAACGTCAAGGAAAGCTTGTTTGCAAGTACTGTGTCTTCGTCTGAATCCTTGAATGCTAATGGAGTCTCCAAGCCTGATACAGCATATTTGAAATCTCAAAATTTAGATGTAACAGAAACCTCGCATAATCATAATGTTCCTGCAGTGCCTTCAATGACAACTTCAAATCTGATTATGTCTGAGAAATTGCATAACGAATCCTTGCCACCAGTTAAAAAGACCGAGTCTCCTCACTTGGTAGATAATTCCTCTGCAAAATTATGTGCCTCCGTAGAATGGCAGTCTAGAACACTTACAAAATCCCGTAATTTTGATGAATTACCGTCTTCACAACTAGCATCAATGTCTCCTTTAGAGAGTAAAATAAGTGTGGATGGTAAATCAGCGCCAGGAAAACAGGAATACTCAACTGAAAAGCCTTTGGTGAAGTCTACTCCTGAAGTACTAGAACCTGCCAATTCATCATCGCAGTCTAATTCGATTGTACAGCTCCCATCATCAACAGAATTGTTGAAGTCGATTTCAGGAGTAGGTGGCAATTGTATTACCAAATTGGAAGGCTCTGATATTTCCAACGTTGTCATTGCACTTGATGACTCCAAGAAGGCTTCCACTCCTATTAGGTCGAAAGGCGATATTGCCGATCCCTTGGAACCGTCACAGAATGAGGTTTCGAAACCAGATGATGAGAAAAGCCGCCCTCTTGATGATGTACTATCCGAACTTTCTCTTGCTGCATTGTCTGAGGTTGGGAGCGCGGAGAGGGTTGAAGGCGTTGCAGAAGCGCTTGAGAAGGAGCCACCTGCTGGTCAAGAGACACATTCAGAAGCAGATACAGCGGATGCCTATTCAGAAGACTTTGAGGATGATGAATTTCCTGAGGAAGTTGCATTGATAAAAACACCAGAATCTGCAGAATTCACTTCTGCTATTCCTCCATCTACATCGCCTTCTCATTCTCAGTCAGTTTTGTTATGTGTTTGAGTCATTCTATATAGCATTTTTTAAGTTTATTAATCACCCTCAGGTTTAGATAATTTAGTTTGTTATTAAAATTTGAGAAAAGTATTCCGTTCTTCCAGTTAGTTGCGGTTTTATGCTTATGCAAGATTGCCCTCATTCAAGACTATGTTTCAACATTCAAGTTTCACTAATTTTTCCGATCTCGCACGCCTTTAAGCTCAGAGGACCTCTTACTTGCTAGTTGATCGTCACTGGTGGGCACTTGTATCTTATCCACTGTTCTACATTTATTACCAGCCATAGAGATTCCATTCTAGTTATTTAAGTTTTCTACTTTCTCTCTCTCTCTCTGCCACTCGCATAGTAAATATTTATTGGAATGAAAAAATTCACTAAATTATTATTATTTGCAATCAAATCACTTTTGTTGCATGTCTTGCTGAAATCTTCGTCTCTCTATTGCTGATATCTTAAATTTCAGCTTCGGAGAGTTTTCAATTGGCCAAGGTGCTTTTTAAGCATCTTCAGTTGAAATAAAAGCTCAACTCACATCATCTCACTTTTTTTGCATTTTGAGTACCACCTATAGAAGTTGGAAATATCGATCCTTTTGGAACTGATCAAAATGTGATAATATCGTGTGTTCCAGAACGTTTTGGGCCTACGTTTCCACTCATTTTACAAATATTTCTTCTTTTTTCGTGTTTCCAAATGACTTTTTACTTTTTCATTTTGAATATTTCAAGACTTATTTCCACGAGTTCATTTTTTATGTCATTGTTAGTCATTGAATTAGTGGGCACTTGTGATGTCCATGGCTTATCAATTTGTTGTCTCGTCTTTTCGCTAGTGTTGACGCGCGAGCTGAACAGCTCCTGGAAGAATGGCTGGACATCTTCCTCGAAGATACTTTGGACGAATTCGTTGACGACTTATCCTTAGATGTTGTTGGAGTCACTCCCGATGATCTCATGCCAAGGCATTCAGCAAGGACTAGTGTGGAGGTAAGCTCATCAGGCTCTCAATCCGCCTTGTTATTTTTAAGTAGTGCATTCTAAATTCCTTTTCTCTCTCTCGCTTCTCAGCCTCTTGAGGAAATTCAGAATACGACTGGTCTCGTAGTGAACATACCTTCTCGAACCCTACCGTTGTTTAAGAAAGTCATGGACTTTTTCTACAAACTTCGATCTACTGTTCCGAAGGGTTACTTCGAGCAGGCTCTCAAGACAGCTGAATACCCTCCAGAGTTCTCCAACATGTACCTCGATGAAAAAGGTATGTTCCCGCCTTTACTGCCAGTGAGTAAGTGCACTTTAAACAGACTACATTAATTCCTTATTTTTTTTCTCTGGTAGATATGGAGTTATATAGGAAAGATCCAGAAGTGTACTTTGTTAGTCGACCGCTCTTCTTTGATCTTTTGCGAACTGGAATGTTGGAGATCTTTGCTGGAGAAGATGATGATGTACAGTACAATCGGGAGATTATTTATACCAGTGCTCGACTTCGTATGTGGGGTGGTCGCAATAGGTGAGCGGTCTGTGTAACCCCATTTGGTTATCTGCTTCGTGAAAGTGATGATATTTTGGATTGGTAGACGCACTGCTTTAATCTATTGACTTTGGGGGCTCATACTAATGAATGACTCATCGGCACTCTTCCAGTGTGCAGATCGCCAATCCCTTTAACTAATTTGGGAGGGGTGTGGAATGTGTAGTATATATTGGAACTCATACAAAGTTCTAGATGCCCTTTAAAAAAATCTTAGTAGATGGACTAGAGTACTCAAATAATAAAGATCTGTATGCTACATTGGAATGTTAGTGTCCAACTTAACCAAACGTCGTGAATACTTATTTTGTTAGTCTCTGGGCTCTTTGGAAGGTTGAAATGCTGAAGGTGGAAGATAATTTTGGAATGCAAAATATGTTAGCTGAGAGCAGAGTCGATGGAGAGTAAAATGAGTCAAGTCCAATTAAGAGGTCATGGGTTATTTGATGAAGGATAATTATGCTTACATCGCAGTTGAAACCATATTATGAATCTCTTATTATCATGTTTCTTCAACATTACCGGGGAACAAATCAAATTATTGCTTTCCTTTTCTTTTGCCTTCAGACCTGAAAAGCAAGAAAGCTGGGAAGCCTACTTAGGCCCTCAACTAGAAGCCATTCTCGGAATTAGTCTGGATCCTGCTACTGCTCAGACCGACGAAGTTGTTCCTTTACCAATGCCTACTGTCTACGATCATTCGGTTGTCCGAGGATCTATCTCCAAGTGGACATTGCAATCCAAACACTACGTGGACCAATTGTGTGAAGTGGAACTTCGAGCAGACGACCCCAGTTGGTTCAACTATAGAGATTATATAAGCACGATTATCAATCAGTCAACGAAGGAGGTAGTCGAGCAGATGGCTGTGGACACTATTGATCGGCTAATTTCCACAATGAAACCGTCCAATGGTTTAATGCATCAAAGTAGAGAGCAAGACATCGCCCTATAGGACTGTTCTATTCTAGTTTCTCATCCCCTATGTATATAATACCTTATTTTACTAATTTTATTGCGACGTGAGAACTGGTGTTTTATAATTTTAGTATTGGAATAAAAGGACAATTGCAATGGCAATTGGTTTTGCCTCCTGTTGTGCCCTAAAGCTGTGTTGGAGTGGCGGCGGGGG